AGCCGGGCTCGGCAGCCCGGACCCCCCTTTGCACCGCAGCCCCGTGTCTGAGCCCACTTGAAACTCCAGCGGTGGGAGGTGCTGGGGGATGCAAGGCAGGGGTGGAGGGACCTGGGCACACAGCACCCCATCTGCCCCAAATTTGGGGAGTCTGTCTGTGGGTTAGGGGTATTCGCTGGCACAAGTGGGGAGCACAGCATGCGGGGCGGGGGGGGGGTATAGCAGCCTGAGCAGCGCGGTCACTAAATATCTCACGCCGGGGCGTCCCTGGGGACGGGCGCTGACGGGTGGGTGCTTTGGTCCCCTCAGGGGTGCACTGCGGGAACCACATCACCTCCCACGGGCTGGCGCTGAACTGCTGCACCGACCTCACCTGGTTCGACCACATCGTCCCCTGCGGGCTGGAGGGGAAAGGCGTCACCTCGCTCAGCCGCGAGCTGGGGCGGCACGTCACCGTCGACCACGTCCTCCAGCCCTTCCTCGACTCCTTCCAGGAGGTGTTCGACTGCACCTTGGTCTTTTCGGAAGACCCCGGGGACTAGGAGAGCCGCGGCACCTCGGCTGGGTGTTCCGGCAAACCCTCGGCGCGGCCGGCGAACGGCGTGGCAGCCGCCTGGGGCTTTGTTGCGAGACCAGAGCTCTCGTGCCTTTGCCTACGGACCGTGTGTGAACGGTAGCAGAGGGGTTTGCGCTGTTGCTTAAACGTCCAAACCTCCATCGGGGCTGCTCTTCCCCGCCCCGCGGGTCTCCGTCTCACGGCCGAGACCTCCAAGGGTACCACGGCCCCGTCACTCGCTGGGGAAATGCCCAAACAGGCGCTTTTGTGTGTTTTTTCTGCCTCTCTTCCCCCCCCCATAAATCGAAAATTTGGGGGAGCACTCATGCACCCTTTGGACAAGAGGAAGTGGGAAGCGGGTTGGTCGAGTGTCTCTCCCTCACCGCCAGGTAAAGAGGCCGATTTTCTATAAAGAGAGTTGCTGGGAAGTTTGGCTGCCAATCCTTTGTTTGTTTATCCCAAGACTTTATGAATAACGACCTTTTTCTCACTCTGCGCCCAGAGAAATCCTCGCATGGCAAAGGTCCTCGCCGGGGTGTTGGGGCGGGTGGAAAAAATCGCTGATAAGAGGCTGTAAACGGTGGTTAAAAGTCCACCGGAGCGATGCCGATGCGGTGGGAAAGCGGGAGGAGGAGGAGGGGAAGGGGTTGGGGTGCCCGAGGAGAAGAGCCACAGCCATCCCGGATCCCGTGGGACCGCACAGGCTGGGTCCCTGGTGCTGGAGGAGATGTCGCCGTGGCCCGTGCAGGCGGCGTCGGCTCCTCCGAAATCGCTGCCCTGGCTGCAGCATCCACGTGGGCTCGCAGCAGCCGTCCCGGGCGAAGGGACGCGGCCACCCTGGGGTCCCGATGGCACCGGGGTCCGTGCCCATCAATGCAAACCTATAGGTAGACACATATAAACTGATTTAAATCTAGAGGTTTCTTAAGGGGTAAGAAGCCAACCCGAGACTGAGCTCCCCGGGGCTGCCTGTTGCCCCTCGGGGATGCTGACGGCTCTCCCGGTGCATGGGCAGGAGGGGTAGCGCCCGGTCTGGGCTGTCCGAAACCTTCCCCCGTTTGCGTGTGGCACGGCCACGGCCGCTTCCGAGTCCCCCGTTGCTGGCAGACCCGAAGCCTGTGCTGGAGGCACTGGTCACGGGCGGTTGGGAGCAGCCCCGCAGCCAGACGGATGCTTTGGGGGTCAGGAGAAGTGGAAAATGGTGAATAAAGTCCCCGCGCCCCGCTCGGAGCAGGACTTGACCCCCCACCCGCAGCCCCTCACCGCTGCTCAGGGTCTTCTTTCTGCCCCGCAAGCTTTAGGGTTTCTCTGCCGCTGCGGAGCGCTGGCGGCTCCCCGTGAGCCACCCGTGGGGGCCTGCCCCGGGGCCCCCC